GAGGCCCAGTGCTGGCACTTACCATCACTTCACAGCCCTTGTGTGTTACCTTTTCCAGCAGCATCTCTGTGAGGAGCCTTTGAGAAGGCAGAGAACACGGCTCAAAGCCTCTAGATAAGAATTAAGGATGTCCAGTTTAAATTGAATTTCTGTTATTAAAGAATAAAATTCACTCAGAAGGTAACTTTGCAAAAAAAAAAAGATAATTTCCTGGAGGATTTGTTGTGAGAAATAGAAGTTTAAGGCAATCAAAGTAGAAATTCTTCCTGCTTTATCAGGTAAGGGAACAGAAATCCAGAAATTTAAAGCAACTTCTGGGAAGGACCCTGCAACATGTAGTATGTGTGGAGCTGCAGGTGGGATTCATGCAGAAGGGACCTGATGTTGATGACAGGATTTTCTGACAGTCATGCAGCTCTGCTTTTACTTGGCAGCCCTGTGCTTTGTGATATTCAGAGCTCTTTCAGGTCCTCATTTGTGTAGGAGAAAATTTCTCAAAATGGCCAGAGAAGGGGATTTTTCAATTAAAACCCTGAGAGATCTCAGGTTTCTAATTGAATCCTGACTCCTTCAGCATGAAGAAATGCCTATCTCCATGTCCTCCCTGCAGTAACAGCAGTCCTCCAGCTCTTAGAGAGACACAGCCAGCCTCCCGAAATGTTGCTGCTCCAGAAATTGTGTTTAGGATGAAAAGTGCACTCCCATCTGGAAGGACTTGGCCCTCCCCTGGTCACTGTTATTTCCTGTGAGCTGAAGGAGGTGGGTAAAGGAGTGCAGGTGGAAGCACCAATGCTTGGTAGAGCTGCAACTTCTCTGCCTCATTCTCCCAAGGGGGAGTGATGCAGCTCCTGGTGGCAGCAGGCAGTGACCCTTGGAGGGGAACAAACCCTCTGCCATTGCAAGCCTGCCTTGCTTTGTCCATAATGACAGCACAGGCAGGAGCTGGACATGCCCCCAAGGCAGCACATGAGAGAAAAAACAACCAGCCAACAGTGAAAAGGATTTTAAATATGGTTTGTGAGCAATAAGACTTTCCCATACAGGCTCAGTCCAAAAACTTCTCGTACGAATTTCAGTGAGGGTTTTACCCAGTGAAAATACAGTGAAAAGCTCTCTTTTATATGTTTTTTAAAGTCTGTGCAATCAAAAATCTCTTTGAAGCTCCAGGAATTGTAGACATTTTCTAAAAACATCTGCTTCTCCTTTTCTGCTGTATTTTTCCTCAGTGCAAAATGAAACCAATCAGATTCTTGTCATGGAGGGGAGGCAGGATGGTCCTGTGCTGACAGCCAGGGCTGTGGGCTGGGACTGCCTCTCCTGGGAGGGCCTGGTGGCACCTGCACAAAGCAGCAGTGCTGGGTTTCCCACAGCCAGGCTCTGCTTCCCTGCTGTGATCTGTGGGATTTGATCCAGCAGGCTCAGGCAGACCAGCGTGGCTGCAGTTTCTTCTCCAGTTCCTTGCTGTTCCCAGCCATGGAGCTCTGCTCCCCTGCCTCTCTTCTTTCTGCATGGCTGATGCTGGAGGACACATTTGCCTGCTGCTTCCCAAAGCTCAGTCTCAGGGAGCTTTTCCTTTGGTTCAGCTCCATCTGTGATGGAAAGGAGAGCTTGATGGATGGCAGTGTGGCCTTGGAGAGCCCAAGGAGCTGCCCAGACCATCCCCTGCCCCTAGCAAGGGAAGAACGTGCTGGCTAGCCCACAGCCATCACATAGATCACTTTGAGTTTACTGTGCTCAAGCAAGCTGGAGAGAACAGCTGTGGATTTGTAATTTAAAAGCATTTTAATGGGAGGAAGCTCATTTTTCAGTGCAAAAGCAGAAGCTCAAGGAAATATTACAAACTGTGAGCATTACTTTCTGCTTCCTTCACAGCAGGTCTGAGCCATCTCATCTGGTACATTATGAAAAAATTATTTTAGATTTTCTAAAATAAAAAACCCCCCAAAAAACCCAAACAAACCAGGAATGATGGTGCAGCCACCTTGCTGCTTCTCCCAGGAGGTAATTGCTTAATAGGAATATCTCACTGTGTCAAAGAGAAATAGAATAACCAGGCCCTTTAGGTCTTCTCCCCAGCTGTTACCTACAAGTACCCACAGCTGCTGCCAGTAATTTTTAGCACCCTGGCTCTTTATATGCCACAGTACAAGAATATCATCTCCACAAGCAGCCTCACTGTGTAAGAAAACACTCTGTACTAAGCTGGAGCTGATTCCACAACGAAGAGTTGCAGGTTCTGTGTTGCAGGAGCGCCAGAGCTGATCCAGCCTCAGTGGCAGCCAGGGCTGGCACCCACCTGGAGGTGATGGGCTCCTTTTGTGTGGGTACCTTTCTGCTGAAAGCCCAGCAAGCACGGCCAGCAGGGATCAAACCTGCAAGGGGAGAGAGCTCAGGGTTCCTCAGGTGTTGTTTTTCCACCTGAACCCCTGGGCTGAGCAGCAGGTGAGGTGGAAGGAACAAGTATCCAGACCAAAAGCACATCTTCCAGAGGAAGCACATTTAGGCAGAGGATTAATTGGAATATTTGATGTAATTCTGGAAAACTTGCTCAGAGGCAGTGCTAGGGCAGGGGAGGGGGTCTCTCACTGTGGCCCTGTGTTCCCACAATCACCCAGGGCAAAGCTGCTTTTTCACAGGATCAGTCAGCCTTTCCCCAGCACCCCTACTCCTGCACCACGTGTGATTCCTGAGCTGAGGATGATTGGAAGGGCAGGGACAGCCACAGGGTCACTCCTTTGCTTCACCAGCCCTTTTGTCTTTCTGAAGTCCAGCCCCAGCTTTCAGCAATTCTGATTTTTGCAATGGCATCCCAATTTCTGCTCTTCTCAAGACAACTCCAAATAGCTCTTAATCAGATCTGTAACTGCTGCAGCTGCTGGCTGCAGACTCCCTGTTTCTCGAAGAGACTCACTCTCATCCTGCTGTGCCAGGCAGGGTGGGCACTAAAAGCAGAGCTGAGCTCCTGATCCATCCCCTGGTGAGATCCTGGGCTCTGTGCTGAGTTTTTCCTCACATTGGAGGTGGGAGCTGGAGACTTCTTACCCTGGGTGTCTGATGAGAGGCAGCACTGATGTGTAGCATCTGCAGCCTAAAAACTATTTGAGAAAATGAAATGGCAGGAGGTGGGAAGTTCAGTGTAAAATCCTGCGCTCAGCTTGAGGCTGAAATTCAGTGTGTTCTAAATTAGCTCACCTGATTTCTTCCCTCCCCATTACCCTGGCATGTCCTTCAAAGCAGTGCAGCAGACATGAGGAGGGAGGATTGGGCTTTCAAAATGGGTACAGCTGATGCAGAAAGCAAGAAGTTTGGGGGAAAGAGACTTAGAAGCAAACCAGGATGATTTTAGGATAAAGCTTCAACCTCCTCAAACCACACACACCCAGAAACACAAGGGAAATAATTTTTTATCAGAAAAGTGGAATGATGTAAAGTAAACTGCAATGCAGCGTGAGCTGCATCTAGTGGCTGAGGAGAGCAGTGCTTGGCTTTGGAGGAGGCCAGCCTGGCAGGAAAAGCTCCAGGAGTGGAGCTAATGCTTCTGTCCTTGGTGCTCCCAGTGGGACCCAACAGCAATCCTCCTGCTGAGGGAAAGCAGCAGCTCACACTGAGTCACAGCTCAGCATTTTGAGTACACCCACTCTGGAGGTGCCACAGGTTCCTCCTGACCCAGGTTTGCAGCAGCCCTCAGAGCCTGGAGGGGCTCCCTGTGGGATCAGCTGCAATGAAACCAGGCTGGTGCTGCTGCAGCACTCCAAACAGGGCAGTGTGGGCAGGGGATGGGAGCAGAAAGGCAGCAAATGCAGAGCAGGCACTTTCATGTGTTAGTGAGCACACCCAAGCTGCCAGCACAGACTAAGCCAGTCCCTGCAGCTTCACATTCTGCTCAGGGCTGAGCAGTCCCTGATGCACGGTGTAGGATCCTCTGCATTTCCTCCTCTGGATTTTGACAGAGTACTGATAACTCAATTTGAAAGCCAAGGTGTTTCCTTGACACAGGGCTTCCTCTAAACGGAAGGCAGAGTACATCAAGCCGTGGCACGATTCATTACCCTCAGCTCAGAATGTATAACATGTCAGGGATAAAGCTGTGAAGTTTTGATTTATACAGGCTAATCAAGCAGAAAGCTATTAACCGAGGGGCAATGGATTATTAAATAAAATGACAGGAGAAACACTGTCAAAACACCTAGTTCTGGCTCTTGGAACATATTATTGCTCTTTTTATCTATCCAAAGTCTTAGCTATGAAAGTTAAAGCAATCTCTCCAGCTCAGATACAATTTTAAACACATTGAAGACTGGATCCAGCATCTATTTAAGCATTTAGAGCATGGCAAGTAATTTGAAACTCTGAATAATATCACTGAAGGGCTTTCTCAGAGCACTCAGTGAGTTCAAAGACCAAGACCTGGACACCACCTGCTGCAAAACCTTCAGTAAATTGCCCTTGACTGACAGCAGGGTCAATTTTTGGGGGCACAGCTTGAAGGGATGTGGCACAGCACATGACAGAGTGCAAGAACAATATTTATGGTCTTAAACATAATACTCCTACTCGAGCAGGCTGCTAACCAAGCAGAGATTGGTTAATGTCCCACAGCATTTCTCAAATAAGACAAATTTGACCATAAAGCAAAAAAAACCTCCCACCATTCTGCTCTTGCTATTCAGCCTGTTTTCTCACAGGGCCCTCCCCAACTTTCCTTTCCCTTCCCTTCCACCTGGGTCAGACTGTTCTTCTATCTCACTGCCTAACAACCAGCTGACTTTGGAGATGCTGTCTTCTCTCCTATCCCTGTCCCCTTAGAAAAAGGAAAAAGATACAACCCTTCCTCTGTAAAACTCTCCCATCTGCCTTTTTAAGGGATTGTCACTCCCAGCCATGTCAGTGATTGATTCCCAGATGGTTCAGGCATCAGCTGAGAAAGGGAGGGATCACTGCTCCATCAAATGTAAAGATGAGCACCCAAAGAGGGTTTACCAGGCTGGCTCAGCAAGTTCTGCTCCAGACCAAAAGGTTTCTCAGCTGAGAAGTGCTGCTGTATGCTGCTCTTGGTGCACAGCAATAGGATGGGCTGGGAAGAAATAGCTGAATTTTCACTTTATTTTTGCTCTCAAAGATCAAGGTACAGCAAAGCTCTGTCAAATCACTGCTAATCTTGCAGTGATTAGCCTTCAGCCTGAAGGAGCTGGTGCACTGATTTTTCTCCTTGCACAGTAAGTTGATCTTAAGCCTTTCCTGAGTATTTTCCTTAGTTGAAAATGTTCTAATCTGCTGCTACCAACCAAGCCCACAATTTAAGTTCTGGCTTGTGTTTTGTTGTTTATATAAGACAACTTTGTTTCCTAATTTTCACAGATGCCTAAACACAAACACAAATACTGATGCTAGTGGCTTTGGAGTCACCCTGAACATTGGATATCCCAGACTTTCTGCAAGATGTTCAAGAATTCTGAAAAACCCCATCTAGCACATTTTCCTGTGCCCAGGGAAGTAGTTTCCCCTTGCTATAGTGAATATATTCTTGCCCCCTTTATTTCACAGAGGGGTTCTGCTGTCACAGGGCCATTAGTGCTCCATCTCCCCTTTATATCAATTTTCTTAATCAATCAGCCTGAGATCTGTTGGTTTTAAGCTCTGAAATAATCTTCTGGCATGCCTAACCTGAGTAGCTGTGTGGCTTCAGGGGACTTTGGGAACCACAGAAGGAGGGGTTTGTTTGTGTCTTTGTAATTAATAAGGACACTAACAGGTGGCAGGAGAGAGAAAGGACATGATGAAGTCTACTGATACCACTCCCATGCTGATGGAAACAGTCTGTGAATGGTCTCTCGTCTTCTGGTTGGTGGGTATTGGTGGCAAGGGAGAATGTTGGTGGCAAATCTCTCAAATAAGGTTTTCTCTTAAATCAATAAAACTACTTTCCTTTGAAAGGGATTCCTTAGCTGCTGCCACACAGCTCACATTGAGAGAGAAAAGATCCACCAGGTTTAGATGTCAACAATGTCATTTTAATGTTAGGGGGAAGGACTTGCCTCCATGTCAGTCCTGATCACATTTCTGGCAAGACCAGAGTGAGGTGTGCCATTGGTTGTGTCCCTCTTTGCTGGGGAAAGTCTCTTTGGTGCTGGCTGATGTGAGAGTTTTGCTGCTCTGTGACACTGCTGCAATCTTGGGCTGGCAATTGGCACCCTCAGGCCTTGGGGACACACAGAGATCTGCCCCAATTTCCTGCCCAGATGTCTGTCCCTGGCTCCAGTACAGGGGATTTCTACTGGGTGTCCATCCTGTCCCTCGCTGCAGAGGGTTCTGCAATCCAGCAGCCTTTGCTCTACCCCTTCATCTCCATAGCAGGAGCTGTTTAGCTTTCATCCTGGAGTAACAAAATGCACTTTGACCCAAACAACTGAGTAGTTTTAATTTTCAAATGGCGTTATCAGAGAAGGACCATTAGGTGTGCTGGGGATTACAGCTGGGATGTCTGAGCTGCAGGAGAAGTTTGAGATTTCTTCACAGTCCACTGAAGAGCATGTTTTAAGTGTGCTGAAAATGAAAGGCTAAAAGGGGTTCAAGAGCATTGATACCTTCAGCCTGAGGATGTCAAGACAACCTAGTGAAATTGGGTCAATAATTTGAAGAAAAAAGGTGCCATTATGGCTGCAGAATCAAAAGCAATGTAATGGCTCTCCTTTGCAATCAGCAGGTTAAAGGCTTGCTCTGAGCTGCAGAGTTTCAGTGGAAGATGTGTATAATGAGCCTGGTGTGGTGCAGTCTGCCACAGCTCGTTCAGTGTCTGCAGTAAAGCAGAGCTGCCTCAGCAGTCCTCAGTGCAGTGTTGTTCTGGTTGAAAATACTGTTACAGCACATTGAAAGTGTAAGTGGGGGAATGAGAAGATTGTAAAGCACATTTAGGCACAGGAGTTTTCATAGGTCAAAGGGGAACTTCTTGAAATTGTTTTGGAAAGTGTAATAAAAGTCAAAAGCTGGAAAAGGCTTTTCTTTAAAAACAAAAAGCATTCAGGGTTTCATGGCTTCCAGCATGTTTTCCAGTCTCCCTGCAGCAAACCTGGCCAGAACAGAATCCTCCTCCCCTTCAGGCAGTTTTGTAGGGTTTGCAATTCACTTAGTAGTTCTTTGGATTCACTTTTCCAGGGTGGGCACAGCAGGCAAAGGCTGTGGCTTAATTAGGCTGATATTGCTGGAGGAGAGGGGCAGAAAACTGCGGAGCTGGGGCTCCAGAGAAGCTTTTGATGCATGAAACCTATTTTAGAGGAAAGCTACCTCTTCTGGCATCCTAGAGAGGTTCTAAATATGCTCAGTACCCCCACCAGGAAATGTGAAATGTCCTCGAGTGTGGCTGGTCCAGCAGAGCTCTCATGAGCCTCTCCCAGGAAAGCTAAAGATGCTCCTAAGGCAGGAAGAGATGCCACATGGCATTGAGGCTCCACACATAATCTCTGCCAGTTTTGCTGAATATCCCAGGTGTGCTAAAAGAGAATTAATGTGGTTTTCAATTTTACTGGACTTTTGGGAGAAAAGTATGGAAACCAAACACATCACTTGGTCTTCTTGTGAGAGCTATTACTAAATCAGCTCATGAATATTTTTCCCCAGGACTGTGTGCCTAGCTGGCTTTTCTATTACAATTCAAGAGGAAAAGGAAGCTGGCATTGTGTGGCCTTCAGTCTCTCTCTCCTACTTGTACATGTGTCTCGGGAGATGAATTATTTATGATAATGTAATTATAGAAGTGAACAAACAAGCGCGTTTTTCCCCGCAGAGAAGCTGCAGTGAGGGATCGGGACACTAGATGGTGGTGTCACTCCAGAAACATTCCAGCGATGTGTGACAATGCCGGGCCACCAAACCACGGCTCTTTCAGCGCGGTTTGCTCCCTGCAACACGAAATTTGAGGTGAATAATATGCGATGCGGTAACGTTATTCAGACCCAGACTTTTTGAGTTAGATTTGAAAGCTGTAAAAAAATTTCTGCTTTCCAGAAAAGGAGACCTTGAGTCTGATAATTTTGCAGTTAATCATTACTGGTCTACCTGAAAACCAGTGAAATCTCTATTTCTGGTGATATGAGCACAAATTCTGATGGAAAAAAGAAACCCAGACCCTCGATATCTCAACCACTGACATCAGTGATGTTAAGGAAGATTCACAGCCATGTTCCTGCTTGCTTTCTTCAGTTATGTCTTAGTGTGAGGTTAATAAAAAGTGCACGTGAGATGTAGAAATCACCATTTTTAATTATTAGATATCATAGATTGACTGCAAAACAAATCCAATTCTGATTGGGAATAGAATGCAAAGATAAATCAGGTACATGTTACTCCTACTGTGACCATTTCAGTTTCAACAAATTGCAAACTGGTATTGATTTCTATACATAAACTATGAACAAAAAAGAATTACAAAACTTCTCAGCAGCCTGAAAAGTCAATATCAACCAAACTAGAATGGCATTTGGGAAAGGGATGCTCTGCTGATGAAAATAAATAGCAATAAAATAGCTTCTCACTTGTAATTTTTATCTAATATCGTATCAGGTCTGTAATCCTTTGCAGGTGTCATCCAATGCAGCATTGCTGACTGCAGAAATGTGCAGAATTAACAAAGAAGGTGCCTGGATGTGGAATAGGTCCAGCCTTTCTGAAAGGTTTCAGTTTGATGGATGATATTCCACTGATGAAAGTATAAAATCTATTAATTCACAAAGTGAGTCTTATTCTTGAGTTGCATCAAAAGAAGCCCTTTGTTTGAGGCCCCAGTTTCATACCATGAATGTATCTTTATCCCAACATGCATCTTCAGCTGTGAAACTGTGTGCTTGTGTCACTTCTAACAGGAATGGCTGTGGAGCTGCAAACATGTGAATTAGAATAAAATCTGGTTTAATACTTTGCTTTAAACAACCTTTAAACACCTGAAGGAGAGGAAGGGAGTAGTGGGTGTGAATTGCCTGGCTGCACATGAAAGGAACTCCAGTGGGAAGGGGACTATGGATAGGGATGACTGGCGTGCTGTGAAATAAATAGGCATGGCAAAAAGCCAAAATATAACAAATATTCCCCAGAATATTTGTTATATACACCCAGAAGATATGGGATTTATTTTGTTATAAACATCCAGAAGACATGGGATTAGTTTTTCTGGAGATCCCTTCTGTTCTGTTGTCCTGCTCCTTGAATGTTACTGTCCCAGAATATGATAAGAATTCATTCCATTTTTAAGGAAAGTGGAAGGAGAAATGGTTTCTCACTAACACAGGCTAATCGTCATTTGGCACAGAACAATCTTCCTTTCCTTTGTTTTGGTTTCTCCCCTGGTTTAGAGCAGGGGATGGAAAGGGTGGGTGGGAGAGCCCACAGGGATGGACACTGGTAGAGCATCCCATGTCTGATCCATCCACAAAACCACAACTTCCCGGTGCCACTCCAACCCTGTGGAGCAGTGTTGGGTCTCTGAATGCATCTGCTCAACTCTTCCAGTGTTTTAAATGAACCTGGGAGTCCTGACCCCTTTTGCCTTGACAGGACCTGTGTCTCTCTCAGGTTCAGCAGGAAGTGAGACCCAGCAGATGCTCCTTGCCTTCTTGAATAACTCTTCAAAGTGCTGGCCTCTCTTTTTTCAAAGGAATTTTGAACCTACTCTATTGACCTGAAAAATTCCTACTAGGCAAGTGCCACTGTAATTTTTAGGCTCAAAACAAGTTTGTTGTACTGGTTCTGCATGGATGTGGGCTCTTGCTAGGGATAGGAGGATGTTTCTTTCACTCACTGTATTTCAAGTTCAACACAGACTTTGTCAGCCTGGAGCTCAAAGTTTTATCTGCTTGTGCCCAGTTGTAAGCAAGAGCAGCTCTATCCCTTCTGTGAGAAATATTACTGTTTGACTGGTATCACAGTTTGAAAATAAACTAAACTGAGAAGCAGGTGCTGCATATGACCAGACAAATAAAAAGTTCAGGAAGACTTTCTGTATCTTCAGATCAAGATGAACTTAGATAAACTCAGGTTATTAAAAACACAAGCAACATTTATCTTCTTTTTTTGACTTGCAAATTAACCTAAACTCATATAACCAAATCTGATGGGAGTTTATTTTCAGCTGAAGAGTTCACCACAGATTTAAAAGACTAAACCCAGAATCATAACTGCATATTGTGGACTGCTTCTGCTGCAAAAGCTTCCAGAGCAAAAGCTTACTTTAGTGTGAAAGGGGGCCGTAAACTAAAAGAACAGTTAGAAATGCAGAACTGGATGTTTCTCATTCGAATGCAATAAGGATTTTGATTTGGATCCTTTCTCATCCCCTTTGAAATGCTGTTTACCTACATCAGAGTTTAATAAGGTTAATGTGTTAGATGTTCCCCCAGTGTAAATTCTATCAGTGGGAAGAATACTGCCTGAATAAAGTCCTCCAGCTCTATTCATTTGCTTTCAATGTGTCAAATTAATTTTGCCACATGGGTAATAAAAGCTGTGCTTCTGTGTATTTCTGTAAACATTGTACAATTTAGAAAGTGTTTATGATTTCTTTCAACAATGAAACTTAAACTGTGCACAGTCCAATACTGTGAGTAATTTCAGAAGTGACTGAGGCATGTAATTGAGTTTGTCAGTGTAATTGTATTTTGGAATAGATAGTGGTGTGGTTTTTTCAGTTGTTAGTGAGTCTCGTATTTAGTGTGCTGATTAATTCTATTAGAGGAGTTAATTAGACTGAGGAGGTGGGGGTGAGGATGGATACAAATCACTTTCAAGCACTGCATTTAACTCAGAGTTGATTATTCCATGCACAGAGAAATGCCTCCTCTCCCTGTTCTGGACTCACGTGTGTGATTAGAGCTCATCAGTGCAGCCCCACGCCTGTGACAAGGACAGACAATGAGTATGGATGCAATTCTCTCTCCTTTCAAGTGTGAACTTGCAAATTAAGGCACTGCAGGGTACAAGGATGACCAGACTTAAAAATAATAAGTTCCTGTGCATACACTGGAATAATAAAAATAATAATTACAGTATCTGTATTTCTGGCACAGCCTCCCCATATTGTTTCCTGTAAAGAATAAAAGGGAATAAGGAATAAACAAATATCATTTAAGGGCACTCTCTGGCTCTGCAGACTTCAGAAGAGCTTGACATGGGAGATTCAGAAAGGGGGGATGGAGAATAGAAACAGCTTTCTCCAAAGCCAAAATATGCAAAATAAATATGCACACAATAGATTTTTAAGCAGCAGTTGGTGTGTAATTTTTTAATTATCTGGAATATTTCCAATCAGACAAACACAAGACACTGTCAGAAGAGCATTAAAACAGGCCTTGAGGCATCAACTGAGCTGCAGAAAAAGTCAAGGCCCTTTATAAACCAAATGTACGCATTGGAAGATGATGTAATTTTCTGGAAAACAATTTGTCTGAATAAGCACGAAGGAAGGATACTGTCAAATGAAACAGTGGTCAGGACCACACAAAACCCAGCATTTGGCACATTTGCAAGGAATTGTGATGCGTGTCAGGGAGCTGCTCCCAGGCTGCCTGGTCAGGCCACTCCAGCACTGTCAGTAAAATCACCTCTTATCTCCCAACTCCTTCCACGCTGATAAAGCAGCTGTGGTCAGGGCATAGTTTAGTAAGACTCAGAGTGGTAACATCTGGCAAATTCACATGTCATGTGCTGCTCCTTGCCCATGTCCAGAGCCCCTGTTCCCAGAGCTTTTTGTTTCCCTTAGATAACAATGGCTGAGAGGTTATCAGCTGGGAATGGCAACGCCTCTCGCAGTGGCACCGAAGGCAGGGACCGACAGAAACTTTCAGCAATGGGAAACTTCACATCGGAAGCCAGCTCTGATAATCCTGCTGAGAGGAGAAGAACTGGCAAGCTTCTCTCTACAAAACAGAAGGAAAAGGAAAAGGGCCCTGGAAAGTCACAGGAAGGTAAATAAAAACTTCTTGTCACCAGGCTCCTTCCGCTGGTCCTGGGAAGGACCTCTCGGCTGCCTCTCACCAAAGGGCTGCGCTACAAAATGTCAAAGAAAACAAGCAAGGGGGTCAGGGTTCTCCCTTGGAGATCACAGCCTGCTGGAGACACTGGAAAGTGAGTCTTCTGGAAAGAGGTAGAGGAGCTGTAACAGCCACTCACCTGTACCAATAAACCTGTTTAGTTTGGGTTTGAGGGTGGTGTGTGGACAGCCTGACTGATGCTGGGTGTGGACAAAGACCCACTCCCTGATCTTCTGGAGCTGCTGTTTCACATTTCTCCAGGGGCTTTGTCTTACAGTTAACAGGAAAGGGAGAAGGAAGACTGAAGTTAGACAACTTTCCTCCCCACTGCTGACCTCCTCTGTCCTCCCCATCCAGCTCACTCCTGTCCCCAGCTCTTTAGAGGGAAATATGGAGCAGGATTTCAGGTGATCTTACAGGACCGCAGTGTGGGGTGATGGCAAAAAGGGATGTGCAGGAGTTCCGGGGCAGTCAACATGTGCCCCAACAGCTGTGAGAGTCTGTGCTCCCCCCAGCCCTCTGCTCCCTGTCCCTATCCTGTCACCCACGTCCTTTGGTTTCTTTGTCCTTCTCTGAAAAGCCTAAGCAGATTGAGAAACTCTTTTCTTTGAATTAGATGATACTAAAAATGAATTATATCAAGTACAGAGTGCCAATCACACAGCTCATTTTTCTTAAAGCAAACTGTATTTTTTTAATGTTAAAAAGACAGCTGTAGTTTGCATGCCAAAGTCCAGCTGTTCAAATAAACCCCTTAGTTCCTTTCTTCAGTGACATCTCCCAATAGGGGGATTGTTTCAGCCATGCTGGCTGTTCTATAGGTCACTCCAAGCACTTTCCATCCACTCCCTGGGAGCTTGAGATGGGATTTAGCTGATAAAAACTCAGAGTTGAGCAAAGAGCTGTCAATGAACTAATCTTTAAAAATACTGCTCCTTTGTCCAGAAACAATTGCAGTCTGTTTCTGCCAGGAGGCTGATGGAGCTGAGCAGTGGAGGTGAGGGTCACCCTTGAGCTGGAGCCACAAACCTCTCCCAGGAGTCAGGGCCACCATCTCTGCAAAGCACTGCTGGGCCACATCATTGGCATGAGGGACTCCCAAGGAACAGGGAGGAGTCCAGCTCTCCAAAGCCATTAAAGTCAAGAAAATCCTCTTCTGCTTGAGTCTGTTCTTACGAAGGTCCATCCAAATAGCCCAAGGGGTCATGCTGAGCTTGCACCAGGATGGCCTTGGTCTTGTGCTGGTCCATACTGGCTGGGAGGGGAGGGAAAGCAGGTGAAGCACCAATGCTGCATCCACACTTCTCCTAGGAGGGACAACCCTCCTCATGTTTCACTAGCTCCAGACCTTTGGAAGAGACCAGGTCTGTTAATACTCTTTTTAAAAAGAAGGACCCAAATCACCAGGATGACTGAACAAAGCAGTGGCTGAAGAAACCAGGTTTCCTGTTTCCAGCCAGTCCATGGGAATATCAGGGAGGCTTCTCTGGGACAATTTGGAAATGCACAATTATTTGAGGAGCTTGGGGCCATTCTGTTGTAAACTTTTTCTTAGCTCTGCTTCCTGAGTCAACTAAGTCATTGCATTGGGCCACAAAATGAGTTGAGAACAGATGTGAGTAATTCCTGTGTCAGGGGGCTGGATTATAACCACAACTACAGGCATAATTAAGATTTTCCTTCATTTCTCTTATGAGCTAAAATGGAAATATTAGATTAACTCAGCTGTGCTGGAAGACTAACAGCAGAGAGTCTGAAAGATGTTCATCTGTAAAGGTCACTGCATTGCCACTGGATCATTATTTTACTCACTTTACCCAGTAGTTAAAATCTGTGTTTTCTGTCTTTCCCAAGCCTTTCATCTTCAATTGTCCAGGCAGCCAATAAGGCAGAATAAATGAGGAGCATTCAAAAGTTGTACATTTTAAGGCTTTCTATCATTATGCAAAATCTATATCATCATTAATCACTTTGTTTCTTAATGAATTTGGGGACTCGTGTTTCTGCTGCTAAGTACTCAAAGGAGTTATTAAATTTATGGCTGTCTGGTTCCCCCATCTGTTTCCATAAAAATTCACTGCAATTATTATTTCAGCAGAATTTCTAAACCTTGCCAGTCTTAAGAACAGGGAATGCTACTGTAAGCATAAGGGGGAGCTAATGGCATATGAGTGGCAAAAAATCACCTAAAATCCAGATTAATCCAGCCTTGCCTGTAGTTTGCATGAGGGTTAAGGCAAGAAAAGGAAGACTGACAAAATTAGGAGAGCTGGAAAAGTTCCTGCCCATCCAGGTCCAGCTGTCCACTGCTGGCTAGGTATTAGGAAAATATTTAATTTTCATTTTTCTGAAGCAGGCAGACACAGAAGCATGTGCGCAGAGGTTTGCAGCAAAGCAAAAACAGAGGCCATGGGGCACTGGGGTGGCAGCTGGAGGATAGAACCAGTCCTGAGAGGAATTTCTGGGAACAGGACTCTGCTTCCTCATGCCAGAGCCCTGGTGGCAGGGGGCCTCTGGATTTTACTACACCAAAGCTGTGGCCACGAGCATTGCTGCCCTATCCCTGGCAGAAATAAACTGCAGAATAAAATCCTGCACTGCTGCAGGAGTCTGGAGGGAGCCCTCACCTTAGAGTGTTCACTCCAGGTGTTTAGGAGGCTGGTGACAAGGCTGTCTCCTGGAGAAGGACCAGGGTCACACCTTTCTGGTGCACAGAGCCACGCTGCTCCCCTGCACAGGAAGAACCCTTTGCTCTGCAGGAATTCCACAGGTCTTTGGCTGTTGGGACAAAATGGGACAAACAGCATTTTTATGGTCAAAGGGCTGTGTTTTGTTCCTCATTTGCCATGATACACTGCT